TTATTAATTTCGATAAAATGTATCAATTTGTAGTAACTTCCTTGTTGTGCAATGCAATATTTTCTTTAAATTGCTCGCTAAAAAATATATATACGAGCTCTCTTTCCATTAGAGCATATGTAAGATTGAGAGAATTCGTGTCTCTTGCAAGCTTTACTTGTGTTGTTTAGATCAGAATATCCAAATTTATTCCAGATATGTTTTTTTTTGGAAAACAAAATGCATGGTAAAGACAATAATTTTGATAAATGAACAAATCCAAAAATCATAACATTTTCGTAAATTTCTCTATTAAAATGTATTTTAAATGTTTTTGTTTCAGACTGAATACTTAATATTGGTGCGGTATTCGGGCACTTGCCAATAATCTCTTTTTCTTTAAACGGGAGAGAATCAAATCTTCAATTAAACATTTGGAATTTGCCTCAGCGGTAAGTCCGCCTTCATCCTTTCTTTTTTCTTTGGTTTTTCATATTAAGGACCATAATTTCGTATAAAGAAATAAACTAGCCAGCTCTTTATATGGTATATAAACAAACACTGGGCTCTAGTCCAGTGGTCCCCAACCCCAGGCCGCGGACCTGTACCGACCTGTAGATCAAATGTTACCGGGACGCACAAACCCCCAGATGGAACCGTCTCATTACAAAGAAACAAGCTGATGGATCTCATTGATTTAACGTTCTAGTGAGTTAAAATGTTAAATCATGGCCCTCCATCGTCCTGTTGGCCAACCGCTCCAACTCGTCCTCCTGCTCCTGCTCTTTATGATGACTCTCAAAACGCACCTTCTGCAGCAAAGCGTAATCCTAACCAAGGATTCACCAAGTCAGTATGCTCCATTTCATTACCTCTTTGCGACGCTCCTCACCGGGGACCGACGCCGTTAACCTAGGAGTCATCAGCGTATAAAAGTTCTCCTTAATTATACTGACTTAACTTTAGCATTGCGGTAAATCATCTATATGCGTTTTTCATCTTTGATTTTTTCAAGGACACTTTGCTGTTGAGAAAATCCTCGAAAAGAGAATTCAGAATGAATAACGTCGAGTACTTCCTGAAGTGAGCAATAATTGGGACAGCGAGTACACATGGGAACATGAAAGCAACATATATGAGCCTGAGCTGATCAGAGAATTGAAGCGGAGTTGCTAGAAGAAGGAGAATGAAAAGATCATGAAACGGAAGTCCGCCGGTAAGAAGCATCACATAAATTAATCTCCCATCCTTCCTAGATTGAGATACAACATGATTCTATCAATATGCGTCGACTTTATACTCCACTCTGTCTGATTTATGCATTGCGGTATTTTTTTTTCATCTTTGATGATTTCTAGCCGAACGGAGTGAATTCAGAACGGAGTCGTCGAGTACTTCCTAAAGTGGAGCGGTTATAGGGACAGCGAGAACACCTGGGAACCTATATGACCCTGAGCTGATCAGAGAATTCGAAGCGAAGTGGCTGAAGAAGGAGAAGGAGGAGAATATCAAAAAATGGAAGATGAATGTACGGACGATTCATCGATTTATAAGCCCCACAAGTTTATTTTTTAAATTTTCGCGGCACACCTATATTATCTCGCGGCACATACGAAAAGAGATTAACGTCAATGTCTTTATCTGTGCTGAGCCAGACAAAGACATTGCCGATAAAAAAAAACTTATACTCAGCGCCCCAATCCACAAAACTGTTACAAACAAGGATTGATATTTTTGTTTCTCCATTCCCACACATTAATATACTGTAAAGAGAAAATTTTTTTTTCTCTTCCGGCCCTATTTCTACCCTTTCTTCGTCCATTTTGTTGGTGACACGCCTTTCTGATAGCGACAGCACCTCTACCATAAATTTGTTACTTCGAATTTTCGTGTACAAGCCTACCGGTGGCGTATAAATTTGTGGAATTGAACCAACGACCTTTCGTATCAGATTTTCGTGATACAGGCGACCATAGCCACACGGCTACGGCCGTTAAAAAAAATTATCAATAGTCATATATTTAAATGAAGCATGCAAACAGTGAATCTAGTAGGCGCCTGAAGTTTGACATTTGTCAAAAGGAAGTTTGACATTTGAAAAATATTCAATATGAAAGAAAGATTAATTCAATTCGAAAATAATGGTTAAACGAAATTTAGACATCTAAGAGTTACAATGTAAGTACAAAATTTTATGTGTGTATTTAAAATATCGCTGAAAAATGCAAACTAAATTTAACCATTTTGGAAATACTGCTTAGCCATTTACTTAATCAGTGAAATGTAATTATAGTTTTCAGATCTAAACTATTGCTTCTTTACATGCATTGTCTATTTAATTGGGAAAATATAAAATAGTATAGTAGTATAGTATAGCAACTGCTTTGCATCTATTACAAGCATTTTAGTTTTCTGCGGATAATAATTTACATATTGGTATCACACATGTAATAGAGTGTTTTGAATTAAGTAAAAAGTACAACAATACTATATAAAGAAATACAACAAAACTACAATTGTTATTTTAGAAACGCGAGTGAAAGATCTGTCGCATTAAGATTGAGATTAAGGACGAATTTGAATCTCGAGTGAGCATAACATAGAACTGGATGTTTTCTATGTCATTCTACGAACTTTGATGTACAATACATTATGCGAAAATAAATATTATAATCCATGTATTCTTCTAATAGCGAATAAATTAATTTACAAAAAATACTCAAATAGAAAATTCTGATAAATTATATTGTAAATATTTTTTTTCTTTTTCTGCGAGGAAAACGCTAATATTCGGGCGGGAAGCCTATGGTCAATAGCCCTTATGAAAAGCGGTTAACATTTAATTTTTGATTTATGATATTTATATTATTGTATTGAGTTTTTTATTTTGTAATTTTCTGTTTCAATAAATATTATTGTTATTTCAATTAATCATGGGAAATGTTGTGATAATTATTGATTTATTGAGAAATAACGTTCGAAGATGAATATCGTGTGAATTATTTAAGTTTTTTATTGAAACTACTGTAAGTAAAATGAATTGTTATAATTATTTTTCCGCTCGCACCCGTTCGATGCAGGAAAAGTGACTGTGCAGTAAGTGACTGTGCAGTAAGCATAAAAATTCCTTCGATGGACGATAGCCCGAAAACTCCTAATCAAAAGCGTTACCCAGCGGTCGGACGTCTTTGTCGACGAAATATCATAACACAACCCAGCACGCCGAGGAGGTACCTTAACCACGTTAGACGCAAACGCATCAATTTTGATATAACCGAAAATGATCCTGTCGTCTCATACGAAGAAGATGCTAAGAACTTCGCCGAGATACAAAGCGTAACTAGTAAACGAACGTTATCTGTTTTTTGACAAAACAAGAACTACTTTTGGGAGGCCATTTTGAGCATCACGAATTAGAGAATAGGGAAATTTATGTTGAATTACTATATAAACATAGTGACTTAGCGCATTCCCGCGCTGAAAAGTCAATGGACGATCATTGCAGAGGCGGGCGTCTGCAATGATCGTCCATTGAAAATCGTCAATTTTGTATTGATAGATAGGTCAAAATGCATTTGTAATTACTGCACGGCAATAGATAAATGCTTTATGAAATTCTAATTTACTCGAATTCAGAAAGCATTATATAAACATTTAATTGAAATTTCTATATATTGAAGTCCTATATACTATATGATAATTTACTAAATTCTAAGAATTGGTTTATAATAAATGCTCTGAAAAATTTAGAAAAGTGTATATAAAATATATTATTAAAACGTATGATAATAAAATAGTCGATTTATTTTATCATTAATTTCATGAAAGTATTAAATTGATACTGTTTTGCTTATACAATCTTAATTTTCGTCATGGTGGATCTAACTTATTGCGATTTATAAATTAAAAGTTTCATTTATTCCATTCAATCCATGTACTTCAAACACCCAAAAATAGATTTCACACAAAAATTGCATGCACATATTCATATGTACATATCAAACCAAACTGGTGATAAAAAATGTACATAAATAATGCGTTCAGTGACAACTTTGCGACATAACAAGAAGAAAGTGTGCGTGCACGCATTTGTTTTTGTTGTGTTCTGGTGCTATGTGATCTGTAGTGTTCCTTCTTTTATCTCCCTCGCTTTGCTAGTTAAATTATGTTATAAAAGCAATGGTCTAAAATTACAAAACGGATTACCGTGATACAATTGGAGAGTTTATGTAATGTAATAAAATATGATTTAAACCTTTAACATACATTCATGTGTCTCAGAGGTCCAAAATTTATTTTATATTTTTTAATACACGGTAAAAATATGACTGGTAAAGTTTTAAATCTGTAAATTTGTAAAGAAATAAATAATCAATTTTACGGTAAGCTCGTAAGTACTTTTTTTTCGTTAAATCAAACGGTTAAAATATAAAAGAAAATGACATACAAAAACATATATTTTGATAGATATGCGATAAATACACCTGAAAAAGAAATAATTAAAAATAAATTAATAACAATATTTAAAGTTATAATTAAATAAAAAAACGTATAAATTAAATCATACGGCCGTTGAACCATAAGTCTTTCCGCCTAACAATAAATTATTTTTCAATAAAGTGATGAACATAATTTGAAATTTAAAATACCTACAGTCAATACATTTACTATTACTATTTATTTTCATATTTTTACGGTCTATTATTTTAAAATTGTGATTTAACTACTGGGTGTAATAATGACAAAATGAATCCGAAAACAAAATTTATAATAATATTTAATGTCTGCATTTGTCGTTTACAGGGGAGGCAGGCCCATCAACGACGCCAAGTACTACATGGGTACCCTAAAGTCGCAACTCTGAGAAGAAGGTCGAGCTACCTCACCAATTGATCACGGGACATTGCAAATTTGGATACTACTGAAGCGATTTAAGCAAAGAGAGTCATTGGATTGTACCTGTTGCGAAGAAAAGGACGCAATCCAACATTGATATTACCGCTGCCCTTTGCACATTAAATGTCATATTTACTCAAATTAAAAAAAATCTTATATAATAAAAATACATCAAACTGTAAAATTAAGAAAAAAAATCAAAGCAGGAAAAAAAGGAAATTTTCAAGATTCATAACAAATTATTATAGTAATATAATTGTAGTAATAATATAATAAGTAAATCAAGACCTATTGTAAAATATAAAAAAAAAACTTAATACTTAGATTAAGTCTCTTCAGGAGATTAAAAGAAAAACCTATACTGATTTGTTTGTTAGGTGACGCGCCGTTAGGACATCAATAAAACTATAATAAAAAAAAACAAGTAAATATTTTAAGATAATACATTTCTCTTTCAAAAAGACAATAAGTATTTATTAGCCTTTTTTCTTTTGTGATAATTTTATTTTCTTACGAGGTATACGAGCGGAACGACGAGTTTTTAAGCTAGGTAAGATATATGTAGTATCAATACAGATTTTTATAATTTTATAATGTCATGTTGATGACATATTCCAATATAAATCTCATTATTTTTTTATTCTAATCACATAATCAATTCAAAATTTAATAATAATGTTTATCACACAGTAACAATTTATCGATAAAGAAGATAATGAGATAAGTATACTACTTTGAATGTATATGCTAGAGATGTCCGTTCTTGAGACTGATTTTTTTTAAGTTTTTTTGTCTCTTTTTACTGGAAATTATCAGGTTTTCAACTGTACGTGACCAAAATTCGACAGGTCGATTGCGATCTCTAAGATTAACGATAATAAATATTTTGTAGCATAAAGCAATGTACTATCATCAGCCGGTCACAAAGATCATGTTGTAAATAAGATCATTTATAATTATTTAATATAATGCTCCGTTAACACGGAGCACGGAGAACATGATACTACCACCACTTTCTAAAAGAGAGTCAGTTCTCCAATCTTTGATTTTAATTTATGAGAGTGGGGGCAAGCGCAGCGCTATAGTTTTGTTTACTTTAGAGAACGGCGATGACTATTTTCGACGCCATTGTTTCTGAAACGTTGGTGATCTGTGGTACAGTGTTCAATATCTATTGCTTAGAGTTATCCCAGTTTGATTCGCGATATCTCAATGTGATAAATCATTTAGCTGTTATCCCAGTTTCCAGTTTGATTCGCTATATCTCAATGTAATAAATGCATAACCTATTTATTATGATTTATTTTTCTGTACAACAATAAATTACATTTCTTTTTGTTTGTTGTATTGATTTTGGTTTTATTTTAGAAATACATCTCAATAATTTATAGACGTATTTATTTCCTTATTCACGATGCCCAGGTACGAGTGCTTTTTAGTTTATAGTCGTTCCTAGGTCCGAGAAAATGTTAGGTTAGGTGAAGTTGCCCTAAGGTTTTATGTTTAAAAATATATACAAACAATTTTGTTATATGGGTATTTTCATATCCAGTGGTCTAGGTCAAGTTTCTGTTAGTGTTTTTTTTTTAAATAACATAAAAAACAATTTGGTGATATCGGTATTTTAGTCAGATTGGCGTTGTTGTAAAGGTGGCGAATTCATTAACTAGCGACTTTAGACCCCCCTCTTAGCGATTTCATATAAATCAAAAAGCAGGATTGGCTGCACGAAAGTCTTGTCACCTGGACCCGGTTAGAGTAAAGTCTCATCAACTGATTTCAAGCTTCCAAGACTCAGAAGTTTGATTTAATCAAAATTTGTTTGCTGCTGATGCTGCTGACTGAAGACTCGGAGTCTGAGAAAATAACTATGCTCCTTTTGTGGTAGAAGTTGGAGACAATGTTCATATGAAGTACGCCTCTGCTGTGAAGATTGAGGAATTGGGTGGTAACTTTCCACTCTCATAGTTGTTCGCTTCCGGGATGCCATCAGTTTAAATTTTTAGGGACTCTCAGAAGTGATTTTTGTAATAATAATGATGTATTATTATCATAAAAATTGTACGAAAGAATTCTCAATATTAGTCACATTTAATTTTAAATTTTGTTTTTTTATAGATTTTAAGCAATTTATCTTTATTTTTAATGGCCAATAAATTGTCCTTTGTAACACATAGATTTTTTTATTTTGCTCTGAATATATAGTTTTTTTATCACAGTGTTGACACCCAGGTGCCAAATTTAATCTAGTAGAGATACCTGTATGTATTTTGAATAGGGTAGTAGTTGAGGCCAGTCGAAAGTCTCTGCATGACATCGTAAAGATGAATTAGTTATATATTTTTGTAATAAATAATTTTTAGTATTAAATGTAATAACAATTTAATTATAGATATATAATGTTTAAAAGTTACACAAAATTCCTTGATAAAATTGTATATCTATATAAAATGAAAAATATTAAAATATTTTAAATTGAAATTACACAAAATTCCTTGATAAAATTGTATATCTATATAAAATGAAAAATATTAAAATATTTTAAATTGAAATTAAATACAAAATTTTACTAATATATATATAAAAAAAATACAAAATATTGATGATTGACCATTCCTTTAAAATATAATAATAAATAAAGAAAAAAAAACTGATATCAAAATTATCAAACAAATTAATGTAAATTAAAAATAAATACCCTGAAAACAAATAAAAATCTAATAAAAATAAATAATCTAAATATAAATATTAACAAAATGAAAATGATTACCTAGAAAAATTGATATACCTGTAGTATCTAGGCCTAAATAAAAAGTACGTTTCTTCTGGTCAAATATTTCAAAATATGTAATTCCATACATTATTTAATTCATGAAAATAGATAGCCGCATGACAAACTCGTAATACACAGGGAGCTGTGGTAAAAATATTTTAAATTCTTTTAGCATAGCGAACTTTGATAGTTTCATGAACTTAAAAAGTTTATTAATAAAATATAGTTATATTTACATGTCATCACTTCCTGCGTATTTTCTTTCTACTTCTTTAATTACTGTCTTGCATTTTGTTAGTTGTTCTAAATTTGTATGTGCACAGGAGATTTCTTTGAATTCGACAGCTTCTTTCATTTACGTATAGAATAATCTTAGCGTTTTAATTGGAATAATGTCTTTATTAAGATCTATAGGGAAATACATTATTTATATGTCTTCTTCTTCTAATAACGAGCTTTCTTCTGGAAACTATTTCACATTAAGCTGGGTCCGGTCGACGCCGTTTGCCAGTCACATATCGGTAGGATTATTTACTATCTACAATATTAAGCAAAATGGTCAAAACCTCATGCAAAACTATGGACATATGGAAAGTATTGATAATCGTAAATATAAACTAAAGAAAACACAAAATAAATATAATTTTAATGAAAAGAACTCGTGAAATAAAATTAATGCTACATTATTTAAAACCTTATTTCAGTCGTTTATATATGTGTACTACATAATAACTACAAATTACTAAAAAGAAAATATTTCCGTTTAACAAAAATAAAAATTGCTTTTATATGCAGGCTTACATTAAGCAGGCATAAATATTATCACTTAACGATTTGGTTAATTGCTTGAATACAGAAACTAGTTAAATAGGCAAATAATAGCTAATAATTGAACGGATTATTGGTAAATTCCAAACAATCGTATTTGCTCTCGTACGGCACTTCGTAGTACATGACTTTAAGGAATATTCGATGCGCACTAAGACAATGCACTTCTTGAGCGGGAATTTAACGAACATTTCGAATACATTATTGAAATGAAAAACACAGGCGGTATCCGAAAACATAATCTTTGACGTAAAAGGACATATCTAAATCAGGGTTATGGATATATTTTTGTCAAAATTACCGGGGTTCTTCTGAAACTGTTTTTCCTGCATATGCGTGATCGCGGGGTTGTAAAACATCCCGTTCAGGTTTTCCAAAGTTTCCTGTGGTGTTCAAGCAAACCGAAAACAAAAGGGATTATTAAATACGAATGCGCACTTATTTGTACAAGCATTACTCTATTCAGAAAAAAATTACGTAAAGTACGTATCCGCAATCAGAATCAAATTATCGAAGCAATCTTGTTCAGAGTCAAATCGATTAACGCAAAATTGAGGGACCCGTAATTTACCAAATCGATAAAATTTTCGCTATGTGGAAATCTAATGACGACCCACACGATTTTAGTGGCATGGCTCTTGTACTTGTTGCTCAATCTTATAGCGATTTATTTGATCTCTTCGAAAACATCCTCTTTACTCATCGTATTCACATAGTATAGGAAAACCAAATTCGGAAAAGTTTTTTCGCGTGTCTCCATTATAGCCTTAGAGTAATAATCGATGAATGTTTTCATCTGCTCCGGCCAAAAATATTTGATTATTACCAGCATGTGGCAGATCACAATTAATTAATAAAGGTTAAATTAAATGTATTTCTTAATTTATTTTTTACTTTATATTATTTAATTACTGTATATAAATTTTATTTTATCTATTCTATACTATTTTCGATAAAAAAATATTATAATATTTTTTTCTTTACACATATTTATACTAGAAAAAAAAACAATAAAAACTTAAATTTTCTTCTTATTTTAAACTTCCGCTCTCTTCACTTAGCTTGTTTTAAGCAAAATTTTGCCAGCTACCACCAACACATCTTAAATTTTAATAATATACATGTTTTTTCTTAGCTGTCATTTCGCGACACCTTATAAATTAACGACAAAAACATCATTCTACAATAAATAGAAAAGTCAATCACAAGAATCAAGTTGGCTGCCCCTGCTTTCGATAATATGACCATAAAAATACATAAGAAGTTACTTTTTACTAAAGGGAATCTTTTTAATGTTATGGATTCAAATAGCAAACAAACAATATAAAATTCACGGAAATGTAGTACAAAGAAAAATATATTTGTTTTTTATACATATGGAAAAGAAAGATAAAAAATAATTTTAACGTAAACTTTATTAACTAAAATAATTATGTAAAAAATCATAAATTGTGAGATCATAATTACAAAAATATATAAGAAGAATATAATATATTCTTGGGATTGCTTTGATTATTTTTAATGTAAAATAATAAATAATTATTTTCTAAGCGATATAATAGATAATACTAAGAAATTAAGTAAAATAGTATGGAGAAATATCTACCGGAATGTTTTATACAATAAATAACGATTTTTAACCGAAGTAGGTTATGTTAGCTTTTCGTACTATTTGCGATACGCTTAAATTTTCCAATTTGAGATTATTATTTAAAATTGATTTTATTTCTTGATTGTTTATAGTTATTTGATACAATTATTTAATCAATTACTATTTTATTCATGGTTTTAAGGAATTTTCGAATTTATCGCAGATGATTAGGGGTGATTATCGACCAATAGAATTGGAAACAAATATCGTTGCTGCATCAGTTGGTTCTGCAAGTTGCAAGAGCAACCAATATTGGGAAATATGGGAAAAATTGAATTTTTTGTTGATCGCTTTGTAGATTATTTTACATTCCTTATTATAAATATAATATCAAATTATATTCCAGTTCAGTTAATGCTACACCAGACTTGCTACACCAGGAAGAGGTGGAGATAACTTAGCAACTAAGATTTCAAATTGTCTATCATCTGCTTAAAAATCATCTGTTATACAGCTGTTATACATCTGCAGTTTCGTGCGAGAGAACGCGAATTTTCTTGTGGCAGACCTGACTGTTTTCAATTATAATATTGAAAATAGAAAAGAAATAAACCTCATTTAGTTTTTTTTATAGAAAAAAATATATATAATCATAAAAGATATAAATCTCTTGACCCTATGTACCTTTGGTTTATCGGCCCCCACATATTTTGTTGGTTTTTGGATCGACAAATCTGATACGAAAGTCGTATCAGATTTTCGTAATACAGGCGACTGTAGCCACACGGCTACCTCATTAGTGGTGTTATTTTGAAATTGTGTAATATTAGGAAATGTAGTGGCAAAAACAAAATTGGCAATAACTTTGTAGACTTCCAAGTGGTTCACTGCCAGTAGAGCAATAATAGAAGTAGGCAACTGCAAGCGCATCGATGAACTGTACCGGCAAAACACGTACACCTATATATATATACATACAGATATATAAGTTCAAACGTTCATTTCGCTCATGAATTTGATCATAACTAACGGCTGGCGCCCTGGTCTTAAACGTAGGTATGCAGTTAAAAATGGAAATGTGTCAATTTGTTGTGCATCTTATGTTCTAGAATTTCCAAATAACATAAAGCATAAAAAAGTGCACAGGAATCCAGAGGGTAATTTGAAAATGAGACAATATTTTTTNGCAAAGAATTATCCACTAATTAACAACATGAAGAAGCAGATGGTCTCAAATAGTCAATCATTCAATAAAAAAATATACCTTCGTACCTGTCGTTTCCGACTGCTGAATAAGTCCCGTTCATCTCCACTTAATGGGAGCTCTATATATAGCACGTCTGCAGGTAAAATATCTCCCAGATTGAGGACCAAGAATATTCTCAAATTAGCCACCAAAAGTCTCCTTCCTATAGACGTGAAAGATATAACCAATGGGGAATCATCTAAGCTGAAACTGTCCACCAAGGATACTTGGTCCATTAATATGGAAATTATACCCACTCCACCTTCACCAAAGCCAGATATCAAAAATGATAGGGTTAACAGCCTTAGGACTACAGTTCATTCACATGAACCGCAGCATTCTGACTGGATTACTAATATGTAAGTTCCATTTTTCCTTATAAATTATTTAGTCTTGCAACATCTGTCAAATTAACATATGTTTTGGCTACTCTCTGTTCTCAGCATGTTTGTATATTTTATACAACAAATCTCAATTTAAATATGATTTTATTGATTCTGCTGTTGCTTTTACATTGAACCAAGTAAAATAAAACTGCAGCAGTAATAGCTAAGTTTTGATAATTTTTTAGAACCACTGCGAAGAGTATTTCCTAGCTTAGAAAAGAATATTGACGAACCTAATGAAATGTTTTATTTTGTAAATTATTTTGGAATGTTTGTGTTTAATTTAGTTGTGATCCACTGACACAGCTGATGCTGTTGTGCAAGATATGTAAAATATACAAGATTTGCAGAGAGCTTTGCTGTTTTTCTTTTTCTAGAATTGCAAAACATGCTGAGGAGATCACCAAGCGGAAGAAGGAAATCGAGCTGTGGGAAAGCAGATTAGATGAGATCCAGAGAATCAAAAGTGAGTGCAGAGCCAAGCTGCTGGAGACGCAGGTGCAGAAATGTCGTCATATTAAAGAGATCTTGCTGTTCGTGGAGGAGCCGACAAAGAAGCTGCCGCAGCTGACAGAGGAGCAGGAGGCAAAGGTCAGCGCTGCTTTTAGTCGAAACAATAACATGGACGCAGTGCTTGCGAGCAAGTTTACCCTCAACATAACACGTGGTGACATGATGACGCTGAGAGGAAGGAATTGGCTAAACGACGAAGTGATCAACTTCTACATGAACCTCATCATCCAACGGGGCAAAAATGCCAAGTTTCCCAGCGTGTTCGTATTCAACACGTTCTTCTACCCGAAGCTTCTTAAAGACGGATACTCCTCCGTTCGCCGCTGGACGCGGAATGTCGACGTCTTCTCGCACGACCTGATTTGCGTTCCCATCCACATGAGAATGCACTGGTGCATGGCCGTCATCGATTTCCGATCAAACTTTATCGGCTATTATGACAGCATGGGTAAAGCCAACCACGAATGCATGGATGCTTTGATTAGGTATCTGCAGGAGGAGCATCTCGATAAGAAGAAGTGCGAGTTCGACGCATCCGACTGGAAGTTGAGATGCGTACAAGACATTCCGCAGCAGATGAACGGTAGTGATTCCGGCATGTTCTCCTGCACTTACGCCGAGTTTCTAAGCCGCAACGCACAGTTCACAGTCAGCCAAGAAGACATGCAGTATCTGCGGAGGAAAATGGTCGTGGAGATCATGGAGGGGAAGCTATTGATCAATTAATCCTATCAATCGCATCCTATGTATATCCTAAATTTTCTCTAATAAATTATGCATTACATTGTATATCATTACTGAATTATTATACATACAATACTTGGAATTTTTATTTCAATGTGTTTATATGTGTAGAATAAACCACTTATTTATGCAAAACAGTAAAATAATTTTATAGAAAAAAATAATTATAAATAAAACGGCCACATTGGTGCATATCACATTTATTTTGATAAGAGAACTGTGTTTACAAAATATCCGGATGTGCAACGTAATGTTCGTGTTTATATGCAGGATTTAATAATGTTCTATTTATCATTATTGCCGTTATGAAACAATTCTGGAACGGTCTTGTTTTAACATATTAAAATGGTTTCAGCTTTCGGCAACATCCAGATAGTGTTGTCTTGAAATATTATTAAATTATTTTTGATTTCACAAATACATTACATTTTTTTTCCTCTACTCACCACCATTTTGCGGCAGTGTTCGTTACGAACAGTAACTAAGTCAAAATTATTAAGTACAGTTCAGGGCGTACAGTTGCAGCGACCGGTAGGTGAAAGAGAATCTATTATTTTTTGATAAGTTGGATGTAAA